ACTCTCGCACAGGAGGCCAACGGCAGCACGTCGTTAGCCCAGCCTCCAATTTGTCGGCTTCTCTTTTCCGTTCCGGGCGATTTTCGACGCGGGACCCGGCCCTTTGATGGCCAACAATGAACGACGGGCTTTTACAATGCGGTCGAGCAGCGACAAAGTCGACTTGGTCGACGGCGACAGCGACTACGTGCGTCCGTCGCCGAGTATCTTTCAGTAGTGCGGTAGGTAGGTGGGTAAGCAGGAAAAAATTGGAGCTCCTCTGAGACGCGGGCGGCCTTAGTTGAATGGCGTTTCGGCATATTTCAAAAACGACAAATATTTCCCTCAAAAGGTATTATTCGCACCGTCACTAAAAACATACCCGCCCTAAGGTGTCCCCGAGACGAAAGAACCAGCCTAAATGCGTGAAATTAGTGCGGAAATCGGCTTACCGAATTTCTTCACGGACAGGCTCCGTTTTGGGATAATTGAGTCGTTAAATGAATAATCGGTAGGCTCGATAGTCAGAAAGAATGAAATAGTTGTCCACGCGTGCACACTGAGAAAAATATCCGATTAAACATAAACGGATAATTCAATTACACTGTAAAAAAATTACATGCAAAATTACAATTATTATAATGGGTAATATTGGGACCATCTATTAAAGGTGTATACACTGAGAAAAATGTCCGATTAAATATAATCGGATAATCCAATTAGATGATAACAAACGGATATGTCCGATTAAATTGTATATCCGATGAAAAATTTGATCGGTTTTTCAAATTTCATCGGTAATTGCATTTCATCGGATAAATTTCATCGGATATATCCATAATTTAATCGGAAAACGTAATCGGAAAAATTAACCATCGGACATACTATTTAATTGGTTTATCCGATGAAAATTTTTCTCAGTGTATTTATATACGTCTGCAAATTTACACCTTGTAGGTAAAATTATTACCTTACATAAAAAGTAAACTGCTTGATGTTAATTGTGTAAATTTTACAATCTGCTGTAATTTTTCATCAAGTACAAACAAGTATTTACACAGCAAACAGTAAAAAGATTTTTTTTTGTAAAAGTACATATATTTATATATTTCCGTTATTAATAGTGTAATCGCTTATTATGTATGTAATTGTACATACTTTTTTTACAATGTACATAATAACAAACGAGCACATCCGATAAAAAATGTAATTGGTTTTGCAATCAAATTTTATCGGATAAATTTCGTTGGATATGTACATAATTTAATCGGGAAAGTTAATCGGAGAAACCATCGAACACACTAATTGGTTTATCCGATGGAACGTTTTCTCAGTGTACATATACGGTCAACGATGCGGATGTCTACATTTCGACATTTAAACTTGAAATCCTACAATTAGACTTTTTGTTCTATAAAGATAAAAAAAAGATACCAATCGGATTTCACGTTAAGTTCTTTTCTCTCAAACTCGTCTGGTTCTAAAAATGTGATATCCAATTGTTCTATTACCGTTGGTTTAATTACACTTAAATGTATAATAGATTACGATGCAAATAACTTGTCTCACTCTTGGAATATTTTTAGTATTCGCAAGAGATTGAATTTCCCTCAGTACGAGTACGTTCTTGGCCGGGGAAATTCTGCAAATGACTTCCTGAATCTCATTACGTTGATCACATTTGCATTCGATTTTTCTTAATTTAACCGACAACAGTGGTTTACAAATTGCGAGAAATTTCTAGTTGGTGTTTTCAACTATTCGACAGGCGTTTGATAAGGCTCTCGCGAAACACGGGCAGAGTTACGCGTCCAAGTTACGGTTCCGCGACTTTGACGGGGACGCCGCGGAGAGCGCGTTAAAAGCGCGAAATAATTGTGCTCCGCTGATGGCTCGTTATAATGGCTACGTATATATGCGCGGCTGCGAGACGGGAGGGGAGGCGAAGTGGTTTTCCGCGAGAGCAGAGGCTCATTGTCGCGTCGACGAGAAGCGCGAACGAGCGCATAACGGCTGGATGACGCTCTCGCGAAAGCGAAAAATGGAAGCGCGCGCGCGAGGGCCGACAAAGGGCCGAGATCGAGTGAGAGACGCGCGGCGCGGCGAATTTCCGCGTGTGTGTAACCGGGCTCTTTTTGCACGTTACCGTCCCCGGTCCGCCTTGCAAAATGTCCGCTCCGAGTTTGTTAAGCGAAAGGGAATACCCCGACGTAGAGAGGCGCGGAAGCGACATCCGCGCTCCAGCCCTTCTTTTTGCGACAATGGCGAACGGAAATATCGCCGGAGCGGAAATCGGTGAATCGCCGGCCGAGAGACTCACCCAACCGCGCTGTTTCCCGCGTCGCGCGGAGGTTTCTCTCCCTCGCTTTCTCGAAAATCGCCAGACGCGTTCGTTAACACACGTGGTCCTACGCCTCGCGGTTGAGAGGTCAAATATTAACATCAGCCCGAACTGCTGTCGCGATTCACGTCGGGGGACCTCAAAGACTTGAATATCCCTCTTGCGCGACCGCTACCATTACCTCGCGACCAATGCGGCTCTCCACCAAGATGTACCAGCCGCCATAAACCGCCGCCGCGTACGCGCTCGGATTTTTCAGGTGCGTCGGCTGCGCGACCTCCCGAGGGTACGAGCGAGCAAGTGCCATCTTTTCGCGAGTCAGCGGTAAAATTTACATACTCCTCGTCGCGTTAATGTAACGGAGTGCGGAGAGAAAGAGAGATGTAGGAGCGAGAGACGGAGAGACGCCGCGGTATCGCGGAAGCGGTCGGGAACGACAAAAGGAGAGCGAGACGGAGAGATGTCGGAGGGGGGTGGTACCGAGAAGGGGGGGAGGGGGAGGACACGGGACTTAAGGGTCGTGCTCACACCGAATTCCAAGCATGCGCCCGCTACCTGCTTGGAATATCGTCTCGTCATATTTCCGTCGTAACACGTCGGATCCTCGCCCACCCTCGAACAACCCACCCGCCCCCCCTGTCCGACACACCGCCACCCTCCGGCCAGGCGCGACCGCTTGACACGAGGCGATATTTTATTTGCAAGGAGCCCCGGCTGCAGGTTGCCGCTTCTTCTTATCTTGTGTGCACAGGAATTTCTCTCCACGGCGCGGCGCGACGCGGCGCGCGACACCCAGATTTCGCAGCGCTCATCGTATCCCTCTCTCTCTCTCTTTCTCTTTCTGCCGTCTTCCGTAGATCTTTACTTTTCATTTGTCTTTCTACAACTCTTTAAACTTCTCCCCGTTTCCCTCTCAATTTACTCAGGGGACGGGTGACTTTGATCGAGTTAATCATTTTCGAAAAAAAAAGTAAGAAAGAAAAGCGCAGAGCAACACATGTCAGGACTTATGTACGTGTATCTTGCCTCTCGCGGCGCAAAGTTGGACAAATATTTATAAAACCAGAATTATTATTGTAGTGCACTAATCCCTTGACAGCTGAGGGCTTGAGAAACTCGGTTCTATTAGCTTTCATATAGAGCCACCCCCATCTGCCTCGAAGTCTACCTTGCACGGCCTACCTTTTGTCGCTGTCTCCTTCGTCGCGTTTTCTCGCTCTTTCTCTCTCTCTCTCTCTCGCTTCTTTCGAGCACCATCTCCCCCGTCTCTTCTTTCGTGCGGGCGATACGATGAATTATTTATGAATAGCACCCAGGAACAAGTCGAATCGACCACGCTCGAGAGACCCGGCACGGGCGGCGCCTCCTCGAGAGAAAGATGCCCGATACATATCCAAAACCTATTCATCTTATCGAGTTGGCCCGCGAGGAAGAAAAAAAGGAATTAATATCCTCGGACGCGCGCCAGCGAAGCGAACACGCCCTCGAGATCGCGGGGCGACATCGACGCGATCGCAATGTCGTTATAAACGACGCGTTAGATAGCGGGAATGCCTCTATTTAAATTGCACGCCAAATACTTCGTCACGTACGTTTGCAAATTACACGCGGAACTGCGTCGCGTCGCGTCGGGGCCGTCAATAAATTGCGTTATTAAGCTTGTCGCGTACCGGCGATTATTCTGTAAGTTATATCGAACGACGAACTCGTTGGACCCGTTAAATGTATGATTAACGACGAACGATATTTACTACATCGATTACACCTGGCAATCGGGGTGTCCAATAGCGCGGCCGTCGCGATAACGATCCATCGGGTTTGTACTTTCTTCCTATGGAAATTTAAGTCACAATTTTTCACGGCCGCGCTCGTCACCCCTGCGTCGGGGGGGGGGGGGGCGAGGAAAAAAACTCGCTCTTATAAAGAGCTGTTTAAAAGCGTGGAAGCGTATCGGTAAATAACGACATCGTTGCATTTATAATTTCGCGGAGCGTAAAAGATGCAAAGTGAGAAAGGCACGAAGAAGGAAGTGCGATCGTAGGAGCGGGTCGTAGGAAGCAGAAAGATGTTGATGTTTCGCAGGTCGTACAGTGTACGAGGTATGTCGGTACCTCCTCGGGGTTCTCTCGCATGGGTAACGATGCGCAGCATAAAATGCACGGCAGAAATACTGTAAGAACGGCCGTCCTCGTCCGCGTTGCTGTCTGCGTCGTCGTCGCTGCCGCCGTCGTCGTCGTCGTCGTCGTGCACGTCGGATATTCTACCGGAATAATAAAATACAGGACTTCCTCCGTCTCGTGTTTTCGTTTTATCCGCATTCCTTGCGTCCTCGCCCGTCTTCCTCGCCTTCCGACGTGTCGTAAGATGAGAGAATCGGTTTACTCCCCTTTTCGAAAGACCTATCGCATTATCTCAACTCGAACGTGATGCTCTCGAAGAGGTGCTTTAGAAACGGAATGCTTTTTCTCAAGTGACTTCGGTAACAATAACCGGTATTAATGCGAGTCAATACCCGATTATTCGGAATTTATCGACGGTCTAGGATTTTGAATTAGTTGGGATTCACCCTTGGAAGAATGTTTCGCCAAAATCTTATGGACCGAGAAATACGTGTTCCGAAGCGCTACTGTCACATTTCGATGGACCGTGAAAACCTTAGCTTAAGCGTGACTAATCGTACCTGTGAAACAGAGGCGGCTCGTGCACGAGCAGGTGAAAATCGTTCTCGGAACAGATCTCACGGTCCCGATGGTGCACGGCGCACTTAAAACTTCTGGTCCGTTTTCCGCTCATCTGCAATCAAAGATATAGATTCAAGTTACATGAGGACAATTGTATAAATGAAGTAATTGGACTGCAAAGACGCGATTTAAGAATTCATTCTGTGTCAAATTTTTATACAAAACTCGGCATAGAAAGATCAAAGGCACGTACGAGTAAAACAGTAGAAAGTTATAAAATATGTTTCAAATAATCCAACTCCTATTAGAACGTACATTAACGTGATTTTCATTAAAATTATTATTTTTAAAAGCGGAATCGAAATCGAAGTGAAAATAATTAAAATAGAAACCGTAAAGTCTAATGCGAGGGATAATCCAAGTTTATACACGAAAAAAACATGTAGCTAAAAACTGCCTGTGGTAACTAAATTTCAGTTGTAAAATATAGACAGGTAATATTCAGTTGTGATAGCTAATATTTTGCTACCGTGCCTATTGTATTAGGTGTGACAGCAAACCGTTTGCTGTGATTTGGAAATTTAGTTATGGCAGCACGATATTTTTATAAAAATCATGATTAGCTGCTGTAGCAAATCTTTTATCAGTGTACATAAATTAAAGGCAAAAATTCTCTATATGCGTAGTATATTAATTACTACGCCGTAAAGTTACCGACAAGTTTTAAATATAATCACTTTCGCTCACGTTACGAAAACGTTGGAAGATTACAAAGTTTTGGAACGTTTGCTTCTCATTTACGCGGTAAATCGCTAAACGCGGGATTTGTCTTGCGGGAACTCGTAGGGACAAAGGCTCGTTGCCGGTCTTGGCAGCGACCCGGTGCGCAGGAAGCGCGAGCCACATAGAGAGTTCCTCGAGGCTGATATTTGGATCGGGATCCGTTAACGCGGTTAGGCAAATGCAAGCAAGAACGCCGGCAAACTCCTCGAGATAAGTTGTGTATATGTACGTAGATGAATGCTGCGCTAGAGGCCACCGCATGCCCGTTGTATTCACTCTACACGTTTATATACACGCACACATGCGCACATATGTACCTTGAGATCGTCTTACACCGTAGTTTGTAGCCCGTTTGCGCAGGGATAAGTGTACACGCAATGACATGGCCAAAGGACTAATGCAGTGGTTAAAATTAATCAAGTATCAGCGTAGTCAAATTCTCAACGTTGCGGCGAGGAATGCTTGCGCGCGCGTGTGTATGTGCGTGTGTGTGTGTGTGTGTGTTGTGTACCTGCGTCATGTTATATTAAAGAGATGGTATCGAGATAGTACTTGAAAGCGGTACGAAGAAAAATTAGTTTTCAGAAATTATTAATGGAGGCAAAATGTTATCGATTAGATTTATGAATTTTATTTTTGGCATTTCGCAGGTGACGGTGAAAACCTTTGTCTAACAAATTATGTGGCTTTTGTGTACGAACCGACAGTGTTCCACTAAATCAGAGAACAGCATGGTATCAATGAAATTAAGTTTAGAAGCCTAACAAAAAATCTATTCACTCGAATGTGAACAGTGAATAGACTTCTTGTTAAGCTCCTAAACTTAATTTCAATGATACCAAGCTGTTCTTTCACTTAATCTGAATAGTGGGACACTGTCGGTCTGCACACAAAAGCCACATAATTTGTATATTATGCAAATGTTTTCATGAATTGACAGTTCTAGGAGCAAAAAGATGCCAAAAGCAATCCCCTCAATAATCGAGAGTACACCTACAGAAAACATTTTTGGATCCAATGCTATTACACTTGAGTGTATCATAAAATAGGTTCGATACAGCGCCAATCATATTTATTATAGAGAAAGGAATATTTTTATCTTAAATGAAAAATTGTAAAATCTGGAATAAAATAATAGTATGTATCGACTTTTGTCGAATGTCGTGGTGCGTTGTAAGATGGGGAGAAAATTTATTCTAAACGCAAGAATATATAAATTTATATAAGTTACTCTTGCCTCAATATAGCAACCTTTTTTAATTCGATAGAGAAGAATAAGAATTATTGATTTTATTTTGATACTGTCTTATTTTTATGCTAAATGAGGTCGTGAGAAATAGAAATGCGTCAGGAATATCTTTTGTCTCGGAAACAGAAACCCTTTCTCTGAGGGTGTAAGGAAACGTACATTTAATACATAATTATTGAGCGTTAATAAAACGTAAATATTCTAGCTGTGAAGCTTGCCCGTGCAAACGAATAATTATAATTATGAAACGCGGATTTAATGAACAATCGTTTATGTGGAGTGCATCTCCGGCACAAATTGCGCAGCAATAAAATTTAATTCTCTCGCGTCATGATTTACCTTCTCGCGCAACGTGTCATTCCGTATGCATTTTGCTCTCCACGTGAAAAATGTGCGCGATATGTAACGCGAGTTTTCCACACTTTTTCTTTATTCACAAAGAACACTTCCATGCAAACTGGATAAGCCGCCGGGCTCCCTCATATCTTCGGCCCGATGGCATCTTAGAAATTTTACATCCAGTCACTTTTTTATCACCCCCCTTCTGCTCTCTCGCACGTTTCATTGTGATTTACATTAGACATCATTCATGGACCGGTTATCTCGATTTCTCTCATCGCATCATAAAACACTTCCTTAATTCTTCATCTCCGTCCGCTTCAATACGTTTAACATATTAAAAATATTACTTTCTCGGAATCTTTAGAAATGTTAGCTTGGAAAATTTTTAAATAACAGTGGAAAGGCCGAAGGTGTACGCAAGCCAGACAGTGATAGATATTTGAAAAGTATGTTGCAAATTTTACTGCTTATTGTGCGCCTCCTAGCTCGTATACCTGCTTCCTATTACTGCTTTCTTCCCTGTGTTATTTCAGGCGTGACTTGCTTTATCCTTATTCTTCGACTTTGCCGATTTATTATCCTCAATGCTTTCCTTCATTTTTTGACAATTCCATTCTGTCGAAGGTAAGAAGGTATTTGAAAATATACCCAAGTGAATTCTCTCACGTGCGAAACGAATACTAGATGCCCACCCACGC